CTCAGGTCAGTGTGTGGTATATACTGAGCGCTCCCAAAATATTGCCTAACATTTGCTCTTATTTCTTTAAAGATTGCAGTATGAAATTCCGTTCTTAAAATGCACTATAAATTTTTTAACAACTAATTCCTATCTTTGTGACTCGATAGATTGTTTCCCCTGCATTGTTTTTGTTTGGCTGGTTGTTTGGTTTGGTTTGCTAATATAAGCAACACAACAGTAAAATGATTGTACACGTATCTTTGTGTTACACTTATTGGCTATTTCTCGAAGTAGAATTATTGAATAAGGATAGACAGATTTTCAATTCTAATAGAGATTACAAAAAAGCTTAGAATGATTTACCCTCTCGCTGCCAATGTGAGGACCGATTTCTCTTTGGATATTGTCAAAAAAAAGTCATGCCAACCTGATGGGCGAAAATTGTATTCCGTGGCTAATTAGTTATTTTCTTGATTATCATTGAGGTTGAACATTTTGCCCTATGTTTTCTTGGGTGAATGTGTTGAGATATTTTGTTTGAGTCTGTAGTTTAGTTTTGCTTATGTTTCCTTTTGGTGTGATTTTCAAGTTTTTGAATATTTTGTCAAACTTTCTTCTTCATTGCATTACTTGTTGATTGGAAGTCCCACCCTGAGAGCAAAATAATATGCTCTTTTGTTTGGGGCAGTGCTAAAGTAGTCTTTTAAATTTTGTTTGACTTTACTTTTACATTATTCGTTCATGTAGATTTTTATAAATATAAGGTTTGATCAAATTCTAGCATTATTTTTAATATTTGACCAATTGCCATTAATATCATTTAGTAATCTATCCTTTCTCTTCTGCAGCCTTTATCATATACAGATACATTTATACAGAGAAATCAAGATCTAAATACGTGCATAAACAGAAATATAGGATTCGCTATGCTGGCCCATTGATTTGTCTCTCTGCATGTCAATATCATATGGTTTCCAATTATTATTTCTATGAGTGGAGATTGAACATGTTCCTTTTCATTGTTCTTGTTTTTTTAATTAGCTTTTATTATTAAGTATGAACTCCCTAGATGAATTTAAGAATGACCTTCTCATATTCCATTAAAATTCCATTGGAATTTTCTTAACTTGAGAAGACTGACTTTTCAAACACGACTCTTCCTTTTCATGAGTATAGGATCTTCATTACTGCACGTCTTCCACTGTGTTGTTGAAGATTCTTCAGGTAAGTTTGTTGTGATGCACTTCTAGGTCGTCTTGCTAGTGTCAACTAAATGGTTTTTTTTCCTATTTTGGTGTTCTAATACAAGAAAAGTATTTATATGTATGGATTAAACTTGATAAAATCCAAGAAAAGTAGGACATTTAAAATAATGATAAACTGGCCTCAAAGTCTAAGTTGCATATATATATGTATATGTATGTATATATATATGTGTGTGTGTATATGTATGTATATATATATTGCCTTATTTCACTGGCCAAGACCTCCATGTAGCTTACCAGTGCTAATAGGTCATCTTTGTCATTATTAAATTTTAAATTATATATTTTTTGTAATATTGAGGTGTTTAGAATGAAAATCTCATAGTGTTTATTGGAAGACAGTAATATATTTTAAAATAAAAGCTCAGCTATTAATTGAAAATTTTTTCTAAATAAAGTTCAGCAAAACATTTCTGGTACTCTTCCTATCATAGGTATCATCCCTGGATCAGGATCTTAAGATTACAGTAGCCACAGTCTAAGAAACTCACAGGGGCAGGTCCTATAGAGTCACTGTGAGTCTGAATCAATTTGATGGCAGTGAGTGGGAAAATCTGGTGAATCTATAGGCTACACTTGGGGCTGCTACCCACAAGATCGTCAGTTGGGCACCACCAGCTGCTCCACAGTAGAAAGGACAGGTTTTCTACTCCTGTAGAAATTGAGTCTCAGAAAACCACATGATGAATTCTACCTTGCCCCGTTGGGTCACTATGAGTTGGAACTGACATATAGCAGTGAGTTTAGATTTTTTAGAGGAGTCCTGATAAGTGTTGCTAAGTCTGGTAAGTGTTGGACTGTTGACTGGACTGCTGACCAGATGTTAACTGCAAGGTCTGTGGTTCAAACCCACCAGCCAATCCTCAGGAGAAAGGTGAGGCTGCCTCTTCCATATATAGGGTCGCTATGAGTGGCTCTGCATCACAATCAACTCAGTGGCAGCAGGCTGGGTTTGGGTAGGCCATCTTATCCAAAACTCACCATTGTTTGTAAGATAAAAATCCTAGTGAAGAATCATTGAGGAGACTTTGATCTAAAGCTTTTGTAAGACTCAGATCAATTTCATGGGTACCAAAGAATAGTCATTCTGATGCTGATGAATGTCTGCCCCACACCTGCTCTACAAATCCTCCCCATCAGGCTCTACACCAACAACAACAGCAATAACCAAAATATTTTTCATGGGGACTCATGGAATGAAAACATCCTAATTCCAAGTAGGACTTAGCAGCCTCTTCCCATGGGACAAAGAAAAAGCTAAAGAATTGGTCAAGACATAGCCTTAAAAGAATTGTAAATAATAATAATAATTGAGCTGCTTATGTACAATCAAATACCTCATGAAATGTGGCCCCTTGCTTTGAAGGTTTAGGGTCATGGTTTCATGGGACATTCCAATTAATTGGTACCAATCAAGTATTTAGTGTTTCTATTTTACCTCCTAGGTTACTGCATGTGCCTGAGACAGTAAAAGCTTTCTGTTGGCGATCCCAGGCACGATAATTGGTCTCTATTCACCTGGAACAACAAAAGGAGGAGAGTAAGTCAGGAATAAGTGGAGGACATAAAATGTGTGGCTAACTCTGCCTCCATGAACAACTGACTCCCTTGCCATGAAACTGTAAGAACTGGATAGTACCCAACTACCATTACCGACTATTCTGATCAAAGATTGCATGGAAAATCCTGAACAAAAGGGAGAAAATACAGAACAAGGTTTCACATTTTCAGCAACTCTAACATTTCTGGGGTCATTAAGAGTGGATGAGCCCCTGAAGCTATTGTCCCAAAATGATCTTTAAACCGTAAACCAAAAAATATCACCAAAGTCTTCTTAAAATCAAATAATAGTTTAGTTTAACCAGCTTATTTTTAAGGATTTAAATTGAGCATAAAACTCTTTTAAGAAATAGCTATGTAGAATCAAAGTGAAAATAGCAACTCAAAAGATTAGGGAGGAAACGGAATGGGCATTTGGTTTATCTAAGAGAGGAGCTATTCAGAAAAGGAGAGTGGGAATGAATGCACAACTCAAAAATATTTCATCAATGTCACTAAACAATGTGAGTGGAAATGGTTGAATGAGTGTATGATTTGCTAACTGAAACAGAAACAACAAAATAAGGAAAATTTAAAGGAAAAAAATCAAACCAGAAGTAATATCCAGCAGAAAATAAAGTTGTGAAGAACAAATTTCACAAGTGACCAGGAAGATGTGGGCAACAACAGCAAGAGTTCTTGCAAAGGACTGAAAGATGGCCATGGAACGAAGGATTGCGGAGCTCACTTGGGGCCTCCACAGAACACTGGCAAATTATATTGATGAGTGAGCAGTAGGAGAGGCCTTCTTTTATTGGAGATATCTGAGCATCTTTAAAATACAATGAGAATGAGAACAAGAAGATGGGTGAAGGAGAAACCTATAGAGGAGAGTCAGGATGGATGGGCAGTCTGCAGGAGCTTGTCTGGTATCAGAGAGCAGGATCCACCTAATGCTGTTCCCTGCTTAGCTTTCAAAGGCTCCAACCTTTGAAGAAA